CAGTGGATGGAAGACCTCTCTCTCTCTCTCCCTCCCTCCCTCCCTCCCTCTCCCTCTCTCTCTCCCTCTTCCTCTCCATCGTGTAACTCTTTCAAACTAAATAAATCTTAAAAAAAAAAAAAAAAAGAACAAGGGAATTAAGAAGTGGCTTGCTCAAGCCCACATATCTAGTCAGGGTTAAAGGGCCAAGAGCAATGTCAGAAATTCCAGACTTGGACAGATAGACCCACTGCCTCTCATCAGTTCCTGTTGCCAACCAAGTGGTGACAGATTGAGGCCTTGACAACACTCCATAGCTGACAACATACCAACCAGCACCACCTAGTGGAAGAGAAGGATTAATCAGCTCATAACCTCTCAACACTCTTAAGCAAGTTATTCATTCAACCAAGGACTTGTGAGAGCTGACCTTCATCAAGTGTCACGTGGGACAGATTGGAAAGTTGCAAGGAATGGAAATGGATATTATGGCCTGTGGAATGATCCATAAAAGTGTGGAGGGAGAACTGAAGTGATTTAACATAAGCAACCATCATTAGGACCTAAATTTATAAAGTAGGAGGTATATATTCTAAAAGATCCAAGAAGAATATTTATTGACAGTTGAAAGTAATAGTAGCCGGCGCCGCGGCTCAATAGGCTAATCCTCCACCTTGCGGCACCGGCACACCGGGTTCTAGTCCCCGTCGGGGCGCCGGATTCTGTCCCGGTTGCCCCTCTTCCAGGCCAGCTCTCTGCTGTGGCCAGGGAGTGCAGTGGAGGATGGCCCAAGTGCTTGGGCCCTGCACCCCATGGGAGACCAGCAGAAGTACCTGGCTCCTGCCTTCGGATCAGTGCAGTGCGCCGGCCGCAGTGCGCCGGCCACAGCGGCCATTGGAGGGTGAACCAACGGCAAAAGGAAGACCTTTCTCTCTCTGTCTCTCTCTTTCACTGTCCACTCTGACTGAAAAAAAAAAAAAAAAGTAATAGTCACACTTAAAATGAAACCTCATGAGTAAAATAGAAAAAATAGTAGAAAGATACCCTGGATTTGGGTCTGCCCATTCTCCTAAATCCAGTGGCCTTCTGTGTTCAGTCAATAGAAGGCAGGTCATGAGAATTTACTGATTAACAAGTGATCCATGTAAAAAAAGAATTTATATGGAAGTTTCCTTTTGAAACTTATTCTCCAACACTAAATACAGACCAGACAAACTGTGATTGCTACCTATAGCTCTTAATTGTAAGGAGATTGAGGGAAAAAAATAACTGGAATAGTTACAAATCACTCTTACTACCAGATAACACTGACCTGATTGCTGTTGGGTTTTGAAGTCCCTAGCGTATACATGTAATCAGCATTCTTGAGTGCAAATAAGCAGAGCTCCAACTGCAACTAGCTTAGACCAGGGAGGGGGAAATTATTGGAAGATATCTGGGGGTGTTTTATATAGTCAAAGAAATAGTTGGACAACCAAACTATGAAAACAGGCAAGGTGCCTCTGGACCTCAGAACAACGGGAAATGGTGACTTGGATGGTTCCTGGGCTCCCTCGCCTCCCCCTTGTCTCTGATCCCTCTGTGGGTCAATTTCAGTTTTTCTCACAATGAGCCTGTTTTTCTTTTGTGATGGGAAAAAAAAAATGATATTGTGAAAATCTAATCTTTTATCCTTCACAGCTTCTGCCTCTCGAGAGAAACTAGCCCCCTTCTGATTTTTCAAATTCCACGTTAGAAGGATTAACTGGTCTAGCTCAAGACAAGTGCCTTGGGCCTGCTGTGCTGATACTGCTGAGAATATGTTCACAAATTATGAAATAATGGCACTTTGGAATCACTACTGCCACCTCCAATGAGACCCCACATCAGCTAGTTCCACAAGTCAGCTCTATAAATAAGAACATTAATCCAGACCTGTACAGTCTTCATGTTTAATGAGCATTGGGGTAAGAAAGCAGGGAGAATTTCAACCAGGATTTTTCTACCAGAGTTGCTCTAGAGGAAGTGGAGTTAAACCTATGTACTCAGGCTTCTTGGGTGGTGAGGAGGGGTATCCCTGGAGAGAGATCACAAGGTTTGAGTACTGTAAGTCTAGAGTTTTTTTATGGCTGTGTGTCCAGACCTTAGTCATGTCTTAAGGCTTCAAAATCAAAATCTACACACACCACAGTTGTACTCTCAGCATTGGTTGCACTTGCCTGGAGAGTTGGAACCCCTTTTCCCTTACACTATAATTCTAGACACTTTACAACCAAATTAAATCCAACTTGGGTCAAATGGTTCTTGACAGTGCTGACAAGTGGAAACAATGGATTCAGTCTTCATTTGGTTGAATTAGTGTGTTCTTGTCCTAGTTTCCAGCTATAGTAGGTAATTGGTCCTGAAAATCAATCTAATATAAGATAGCATTCTAAATTATGATTTTTCAGGGTATAAGAGACTCTAGGGTAATACTATTTCTTTCATTTTTGTCCTATTCAGATCAAGATTTCTTACTGAGTAATGGCACTGAACTCAGAAAAAGAGTTGATGGCGACAGGAGAGATCAATTAGGGACTGATACAAAAGAGTTCCAAGTATGGGCACCTAATTTCATAATCAGTGTGAACAGTTATTTTATCCCAAAAGTAATGAGTATGAAATTCAGATGGCAGCTCATGCAAGAAAAGTTATTAATGCAAAATCAAGAGATTCCATCTTTGGGGAAAAAGCTAATATCATCATCAATAGGATGTGATAATTGAATAAAAGAAAACAGAAGGGATTATCAGCAGAAGAGGTCTACAAGGAAAGTGGGGCAGGTTGCATCAGTGATGACCTCAGGAAGCCAAAATCCCACCAACGTGGAATTCTGTCATGGAAAGGATTGTAGTTGGGGTAGATGAGATGAAGAGTTGGAATCATGGATTCACTGCTCATGGTTGTTGCAATCAGGTACAAGTTTCTTTTATAAAATTACTATTTAATGATTCTGAAGAACAGAAGTTTCAATTCATTCATTGGTGCTAAAATCAGACTTCTGGTTCCAATATTTTTAAAAATAAGCAACAACAAAATAATTTAAAGGCAACTCTTTGAAGATACAGTAAATTTATAAAGCCTATCATCTTATCAAAGATGGTGGAGCCCCGTCCCTTTGAAGCCATGGACATTCTCATGTTAGCACAGAACACCCTGAAAGTCCACCCCACTCTCTTCATCAGAGTTTGATCTGTGTCTTGTATGGAAAGGATTTCATTATTGAATCATCTTTTGGTGTACACCTTGCAAGGATTCTGAGGGGAATATTCAGTTGGGGACTGAGAGTAGCTTGATGATGGGAAATATATTATAATGGGAGTGAAAGAAAGAAACAGCCTTAAGGCATAAATTAGGCATCATTGTATTTGAATTCTATTCCAGGTTGAAAATTTTTATTTTTTGATTATTCATCAAACATGCAGTTCTAGAAATAATTGTGGTAGGCTTGAGATAGAAATATTAAAAGGTGCAGTAGCCCTCCATGGCCCCAAAAGGTCATTCATCCCTATATTACTAAGAGATTCTTTGATTGCAAGAAACAAAAACACACTCAAGCCTCTCAATTGAAGAGAATCAGTAGGATTAGAGTAATGAAAATAGGAGAATACAAAATTTTCTATGTTTGCAAGGTGACTACAATATTTTCCACATATTAGAGCCTCAGCTTTTGAAACTATGAGACTTTAGAGTTGTGGCACCTGCTGCTAACTGAGTATCCTTGGGCCCAATTCCAAACCAATGAAACAGAAACTGCCTTAGCCATAATTTAGGTCAAGTATCCATTGCTGCATTCAGTAAATATTTATTGAGCACCCACTGCATATTGGGCATTTTTCAAGACTTTGGTGCTCCCATAATAGAAAAACAACTTCTATAACTTCCTGTGCTTACATTTAGGGTTGGAATAGGTAGAGAGCAGCACAGACAAGGAAGAGCTAAATTTATACTACAAGCTCAGGAATGATAAGTATTAGGAGGAAGAATAAAGATGGGTAGAAATTAGAAGATGACAGCAAGGTACTATTTTAGAAAGATTTTCTGACAGTCTGAGGAGGTGAAAGTGAGCAGAGATTTTTGAGGAAGCAAAAGAGCAGGCCATGAGAATCTTTGAAGGGCCTTCTAAGTAAAGGACCAACAGGGACACAAGACCCATGATGGGCCCAAGAAGAAGTTCCTGAGATTAAAACACAAAGAACAAGAAGAGAAGCAGCCTGAAATCCAAAATGGAACTTAGGTAGCCAGGCCAGGAATTTGAGAAGGAGAGAGCTATGACCTGATTTTACTTAAATTTAGCTTAAAGTTAAGCTCTCAGCCAGTAAGTTGAAACTCAAGAGTTCAAAACCACAAAGCTTGGCTCTAGAGCTTAGGAATCATTGATTTGCTCTCATTATGATGCAGAGTCTCCTAGTAAGGTGTCCAGACAGTCTGAAGGCTCATCTGTTTCCAAATGCATTGGACTTCCAGCCTGAAGATAGTGACAGAATTTGATTTTACATAGCAGTTGGGATGCATTTTATATTCAAAAGACATGTGCCTCTTTGCTATAAGTCTATTCATTTGGTTCACCATTGGAAGTCCCAGTTTAAGCTGCCAAAAATGTTTAGTACTCTTCAGAACAGATTTTTCTCCATTCTATACCAGCTAATCATCTTCACCTATCTTCTACAAAACAGCACCTGAATTATCTTTTTAAGCAAGAAGGGGAAATACACTCACCCAGGGCCACACAGCAAGGTAGTGATCGTGCTGGCAACAGCATCTCAAAAAGGATGAGAGAGAGTAAACGGAAATTGTATGCCTCTGTAGGTATACTCTCCTTTCAGGAATCTCTCTGCAGAGAATACTATGCAAACTAAAACTTGCTTTCTTTAAAACTGAGTCATCTTCATGTTCTTTGTTCAAGAGTAAATGTGCTGATATGGTGCATGTTCAGAGAAAAAAGCTTGCATAATATCAAAAACAAAGCACACGAGAAACTAATTCTTTTCTTCAATTTTTAGGATGACTTTGAAAACCAGATGCATTGATTCCAACTGACCAGAAGTCTTAACTTACTGAAATTGTTGCCCTTTGTCTATCTGCATGAGGAAGAATCGGGTAAGGTGGCAACAGCTGTATTAAAAATAACTACATCCCCAGGTGCCAAGCACTGGATAACAGGGTATTATATATGCAGATTCAGTCCAATCTATTTTCATCAATGGGTCTAAATGCTTAGAATTGACATTTAATCACTTCATTCAATAAACATTGTTTGAGTACCTCCACTATATTCCAGGTGCTATTCTAGGCCTTGGAGAAACAACTCTGGATACATTAAAGACCCTCTGTATGGGAAGAAAGCAAATAAATATACAACATATCAGTTAGTGGTGAGTGCTGAGAAGAAAAAATAAACCAGGAGAAGGGTGATAGAGTGAGAGAATAGGGACTTCTGAGCTTTTACCAAGACTGATGATAGGAGTTTTCTCTGAGTATGTGATGTTTGAGCAGAGATCTAGGCAAGACAAGATTATGACATGAGAAGAGGGAAAAGCTGGTTTTCTTCATCATATTCTGTTAAGTCAAGGCAGAAGATGGCGTCTTTTAAGAAATAGTATCAGAAGGTTCTCAAAGAAAACATTAGCCCTCAGTTAATTAGAAAATCCAATTGGCCAGAATTCCTCTTAACTCCATTTCCTAGGCAATCAAATGAGTGTAATATATGCATTTATACATACAATATATAAATTTAAATGCTCTTAATTATCTTCTCAGACACAACATGTTATAGTGGGAAAAGAATGAACTTTTATATATTATATAAACTTTTATATATTTATATAAATATAATAAGTATAATTGGTGAATTCCACTAAGAAAACAACTCCATCTTTTTGTGATTTTGAGTCAACTTGTTAACCTTCCCAGATTTCATTTTATCCATAGAAATATAACATACTTACCCTTTAGACTGACTATAAGGATTATATCAGATGCCATATGTAAGATTAGACACCTAGAAGTGTCTAAAAATATGTTAAACTTGTTTTCCCAAGGTGCCAAGAGAATTACTAATCCATGAAGAGTGTCACAAAGTAATGCAATAGCTATAAAATTTTATTTCTTTTCCCAGCAACAGAATTGGAAACTTTAGGATATCCAGGAAACCAGTGGCTTAAGTGCACTTAAGATTTATTGAAATGATTATTCTACTGTGTCGTCAGTGTCAATGTCCCTTCTGGACTATTCGTTTGAAGTTTTTTATTCCAGCTACATATTAGGACAGCAGACAATAATGAGAATGAATATCATGTCTGGAATTTCTCCTTTTAACACTGAGCCCTAAGACTATAACCATCAGTCAAGCATGCTAGACATATGCTCAAATTTAGCCTTTCATTGTCTACAGAATTAACATTTCTTCTTCGTCCAGTGCCGGTGGTCCAGTGGGATGGGTCCTATAAAATGGGCACCCATGAATTTTCATGTAACATTTATTGAAACAGTTTTTAAGAACCCAATACCTACTTCATTGGGTTTTCCTAAAATAGAATGAATAGGATCTGCTTAGTTCCATTTTAAACTCACTTGTGTATTTTTCTTCCTCTTATTGCATATTTACAGCACTAGGATTAGAATAAAATTCCCACGTCCTATCTGCTGCTTGGTACTCTATATGGTGGTTTCTTTAAAATATATGAATGGGCTATTTTCTCATTTCTGTTAGTTATTTCCAGAGGTTGGTATTGGGACAGCTGCAGGATGGCCATCACTATGCTCATTCCACGTTGTTGTTGAAGTTTTTCATGAACAAACCTAGCAATTAGAGATCAAACCACTGTTGGACATCATCATGCTGCCCTTTCTCCAGAGGTTCATTCCATTTTTACAGATGTGGTATCAAGCTTTCTCAAAATGGAAAGGTACTATCTTCTTCCATTATAAATTCATTTTTATTATGGGTATGAACTCTACTTGAGTTAGTGTTAAGTGTATACCTGGAATGAACCCCACCAATTTTAACATCAGAGAATTTTCTATAAGCTCATAGGCCTTAGAAAGGAGTCAGCTAACCCCTGGGAAAACCAGAATACCTGATCTTTTCTTTTAAAATGTTTATTTATTGATGTATTTGAGAGACAGAGAGTCAGAAAAAGAGAGACAGACAGAGAGCTCCAGTCCACTGGCTCACTCCCTAAATATCCGCAATAAGCTGGGAGTCACGTACTCAGCTAATTCTCCCATATGGGCAAGAAGGACCCAGCTACTTGAGCCATCACCTGTTGCCTCCCAGGGTCTGCATTAACAGGAAGTTCTATCCAGAGCAGATGCAGTACTCAAGCCCACATATTTTAATATGGGATGTGGACATCCTAATTAATGCTCTGCCAGTTCAAACACCCAGGCCATCGCCCCTGAAAATTGCCTGCTACTTCACAAGCCCCTGGATATTGACTAAATTTGTCTTAATTGGATGTGTCAGCATTCATCTTCAATACTAAGTGTGAAGTCAAAGGGAAGCCTTGAAAGTAGTTATCAGACAGGCATTTTGATAAAATGATAGTAATCAAACCCATAAAAGGAGCCTAATACTGGAATGAGTATCACTTTTAGGTAATATTTGGTACTTTATTACTATAATTTACACAGCATTTTCTAGACTATTAGCTTATATACTGTCTACCAGTCAATGTATAGTAAATAATCATCTTCATTTTCACAGATAAGAAAACCTGAGACTTAAAAGTTAAACATGGACTGGAATTGTTAAGGTTAAGCTGCCGCTTAAGACACCAACATCCTATATTGGAGCGCTGGTTCAAGTCCTGGCTGCTCCACTTCCAATCCAACTAATGTGCCTGGGAGGGCAGCTTCTAGAAGATGGCCCAAGTACTTCAGCCCCTGTCACCCATGTGGGAGACCTGGATGGAATTCCTGGCCCCTGGTTTCAGGGCCAGACTAGGCTGTTGCAGTCATTTAGGGAATAACTGGGTAAAGGAAGAATCTCTCTCTCTCTCTCTCTCTCTCTCTCTCTCTCCATTTCAAGTAAATAAATATTTAAAAACAACAAGAAGAAGTTAAAACAGTTTGCCGAAAATCATACAGCTAGCCAACGTCCACTGGAACTGGACTGCAGGTCTTCAGACTTAAACCCTCTGCTCTCTTCCCTCCACTAATGTCTTCCAATTCCTGTATCTTGTAGATACATTTATTCATTTTATGACATCTACTACCCACTTGTTCTTTTCATGCTATTTTATGTAGACTCAAGTTTCAGCTCACTGATGAGCTACAGATCCTCAACAAATCTCTGAATTACAAAATTGATTCTAAGTTGAAGGAGATGTGAAGTGTGTTTTCATACAATAAATATTATATCAGCACACATGTACTTCTGAGCTTGTTGATAAAAGAATAGATTCAGTTCTCTCTGTCATTTTTTTTTGGAGCTGCACCCAGTTCTTCCTGTGCTTTGAAACTCCAAACCACTGTTCACCCCAAATTGCAGTGGGATCTTTCAACATATGCTCTTTAGATCAGTCACTCAGTACTTTGTCATGAATTGACTATGTGTCTCATGTGTCACTGGCTTATTATTCTTGGTTCATTATAATTTAATTTTCCCTATATGAATTGCCTCCCCACTAGAGATTAACCATATAGAAAAAAAACAGGGGCCATATCTCAAACTTTTCCCAATGCCTTAGATTTAAGGTTGCTTAGAAGTGTATTTTTTAAAGACAGACCCAAATAAAATCTATTATACTTATAATGGTCATTTACCTGCTACTTCTTTTTGTTAACAACTATTTTTGTTGGGTAGTCATGTGATCCAGAAATGCAATGAGATATAAGTAGATTCATTCTGGAAAAGCTTTTACTTCCATTTGAAATTGACAGGGAGAAGAGACTCACAAACCCACGCCTTCCCTTTCTTCTTGACATATGTCCTGTCCCTGTGGCTGTAATCATGTGACATGAAAGGCACCAGGCATTAGACTGAAATGATAACAGCCCAGAATGGTAGAGCAGAAAGAAAAAGACCTTGACGACATACATGAGCAGCTGCATCAGTGCCAGCAGTCACCTCCCTTCAGTCTTCCTGGGCATGAGATACCTCGTGTCTGTATTAAGCCATTTCTGCTCTGCCTGAATGAGTAAATGAGTATATTCAGAGTTTCATACCAGAATTGAACCACCCATCTTTCTTTGAGCTCCCTAATAGGCAAAACAATAGCATAAAAAAGATAGTTGATCAGTTAATATTAGCCATTGTCTTTGCAGAGAAAAGGTACCAGTTCTTCAAGGAAAGCCCTGCTGCTCATGAAACTTAGTTCTTTCATAAACGTCTCGAGTAAAGTACCATAGAGGAACACAAAGTATGGAAAATATATTCAAGTCACATCCACACATTAAATGCAAAGTTAGATTTCATATAGTTGTTTCTTCTAATACAATTTAATGTAAACTGAGGATATAATACCCAACCTCAACTCAGTAAAAAAAATTGTAGAGGGGCTGTTGTTGCAGTATCACAGGTTAAGCCACCATATACAAGGCCAGCATCCCATATGGGCACCAGTTGGAGTCCCTGCTGCTCCACTTCTGATCCAGCTCCTTACTAATACACCTGGGAAAGCAGGAGAATTTAGTCCAAGTGCTTGGGCTCCTGTCACCCATGCATGGAATTTCTGGCTCTCAGCCTGTCCCAACCCTGAGTGTTGTGGTCATTTGGGTAGTATACTAGTGGATGGAAAAATTTCTCTGTCTCTGTCTCTGTCTCTCTCTCCCTCTCTCTCTCTCTCTCCCTCTCTCTCATTCTGCCTTATTAATTAAATAAATAAATCTTTTTTTAAAATAATTATATAAGAGACAATTTAGGTCATTTGACTTAAATAGATTTTTTTGATTGTTATTGGGCTTTGAAGCTAGATAAACAGTAAATAATATATTTTATTTTCTTATCAAAGGAATTTTGATCCATCTAGGTTGGCATACAATCAGTAGAGAGTAAAACTTATTTTCCCTGTTATGTAATTTACAGTTTCAAATAGAAACAAACCACTCTACTATGGAAACTTCTCAAAATATTGCTATGGTAGGAAGAAGTTGTAGGGTCTGAATTTATCTGCTTCACTAGCCTTCTGTGATTCATTAATTAAATAATTGCTTAACTCTATCTTTTTCCTGGTTAGAAAGGTCATTTAATTGGGTCTGAGTCTATCAGACAAAACCAGCTGGTCCATTGCTGATTTAGGGAAAGAGGAAATACTGACTCAATCCATCTGAGCAGAGAGCAGCGTGGGCAGAAAGGGTCAACCTTACACATCTTTTATTGCAAAATAGTTCCAAATCTCTTGAGACTGGATGAGTGGGAGAGAGTAGATTACACTTCTGAAGTAGAAGCTATCTAGGAGGACCGGAAAACAGCCCTTTGGTACACGCAGGAAAGGATGGAAAGCCTGCCTTCTACACCGGCCATCATTTGACCATTTTAGTATCTGTGCAGCACTTAGAAGTTTCTAAGATCTAAGAATCTGAAATCATTAACACAAAACTGGAACTAATCTCAGACTTGGCATTTTGTATGGGGAACAGAATTGGCCCTGAGATTTGTAAGTGACTCATTGAGGAAATGCTTGGAAATGCTGCTCAATATGAGGGCAATATTTAACAACAGGCAAACATGTAGTACATGGGGACGGATCACAAATGAAAGGAAAATAAATTAAGAAGTCACAAAACCAGAGGAAGGCTCACAGCGAGAGGCAGATACCATTACCCTGGAAGTGAAATGCCAGCACTTTGGAAACAAAACATACGTGCTAGAATCATCAATGAACTTGAAATACCCACACCAGTTTGCCTTCACTTCCTTTTGTGCTTGTTACATGCCAAACAGTTGAATATAAAGTACCTTAATGGATGCAGGAATATTTTACAAATTAAGCGCTCTGAAAATATAAGCTATTATCATCTTTATTGGGGAAGAGCAGACCACCATGTTACTCGAATTATAATGTCTACCAGCCAAATAGTTTGCCCAGAAGGAAGTTATGAAGCCCTGAACAAAACTAAAACAAAAAAACAAAAAACCACTCAACAACTTTGCAGTGTTTTGGTCTTGCACTGGAATACATCCTGCTACCGATGTTAAACATCAGGGGCGTTAGAATTGTAGTATACTCAGATGGAGAATGTTTGTGCTTTGCTGTGCTGTTGCAGAGGGGCAGAAAGAGTCCCAGCCATGGTCCACCACCCCTAGGCCAAGGCTGGCAAAGGGGCACAGTGTACCCTTCTCCTTCCCACACTCATGGCCAACTTTGATAATCGATCATGACTCTGTTAATTTCATCAACAGCTTTAGGATTCTTGCCTATGGGACCGTCCAGGAAGTTACTATCAACTCATCAGAATTGGAACATTGAGCTGAAACCTAATTGCTGCCTTGGCCTGAGGCTGCTTAGAGTGCTATTCTGGGCCTCCACCCACCCTCACTGGAGGAGTAGCTCTAACTCTGTGGAGCACATGAAAAAGATAACCATTTAAGGAATAATAATGATGCTGATAAAGATAACAAACATCAAGAACAATAACAATAATGCAGTATCCGCCATTTAGTTAGCCCTACTAAGTTCCAGGGGTTGGCTGAAGTACTTCCCACACTATCACTACCTCAATTTTATGCATGAGAACCCTGAGACAGAGGAAGTTAATAACTTGTCCAGACTCGTGGGCTTTAAACCTAGTCTCTTTGACCCCAGAGGCCCACACTGTTACCCACACCATTAATAGAACAAAAGGTACAACCGTCAGTTTTTCTAACACAGTTAATTATCTGCATTCATTCAGCGCTTTCTGTGAGGTGGAGAAGGAACGATGCCCCTCCTTCTCCTAAGGAACCCGGTGGCTGTACTGCTTCCTGGGCACTCCACGTTTGTGGGAAGTTTTCTCTTACTCTAGACAGTGCAGAGAGAAATCTGAGTCAGCTCAGACTTCAAAGTCTTTATTGAAACTCAGCAAAGCTCACACAGTTTATACAAGAGGTTTTTTTTTAATTTTTGCAGGAAATGAAGATATCGTCTGTCTGTTTCACAAGTATAAACATACTCTACTGATCCCATCCCTCGAGCATGGCCAGGTAGACAGAGCATGTTCAGATCTCAGTCAAGGCTAAACAGCCTCGACGTGCAATGAGCAAACCAACTGGACTTTCTGTGGTTTTAGAAGTTATTTTAGTAAAGGTTCTCATAGAAAAAAAGAGTTTTACACAAATGCTAGATACTATTCTAGTCTTGGTTATATCCGGGACAGGACCTGAGTCTTTCCGGAAGCATCATTATGGACATGGGAACGCAGCCAGGGAAAGGAAACCAAGCCTTAACAGTTTTCCAAGTCTTACTTGTGGTGAATAAAGGCAAAATTAAGTCAACCAGCTTCAAAGTGATGACGCATCCCACTTTATCACTGAAACCCAACATCTTTAGTATTTCCTGCTCTTCAACAAACGTTACTCAAAGTGTGATAAGAAGTTAGAACACAGAGAATAGACAGCTACCAAATCATTTCCTTATTACTGAACCTCAGAAGGACCAGATAAACGTCTTCATTAACTCTTTTATTGTATGTTTACAACATTTTTTTTCTTGTTTTAAAGATCTATTTATTTACTTGAAAGTTAGAGTTATAGAGAGAAACAAACAGAGAGAGAGAGATCTTCCATATGCTGGTTCACTCCCCCAGATGGCTTCAATGGCCTGGGTTGCACCAGGCCAGTCAGGAGCCAGGAGCTTCATCCAGATCTCCCATGTGGGTGCCAGGGGCCCAAACTTGTGGGCCATCTTCCACTGTTTTTCTCAGGCCATTAGCGGGGAGCTGGATCAGAAGTTAAGCAGCCGGAACATTAACCAACATCCAAATGGGATGCCAGTATCACAGTTGGCAGCTTTACCCCCTACACCACAACACGGGCCCCCACATGATGTTTTGATATAAGCATATGTAGTAAAGTGATTACCAGGATCAAGCCAAGTGCCACATGTACCATCCCACACAGTGACCTTTTGTGTGTGTGTATGTGTATCATAAGAGCACGTAAAGTCTACTTTGTGCAAATTCCTAGTACCCACAATGCAATATTATTAGCTGAATTCCTCATGCTGTACATTAAATCTCTAGACCTTCTTACCCTACATAACTACCATTTTGTCCCCTTCCACTTACTTCTTTCAGTTTCTCTGCCACAAGCATTGTGGGCACGAACATGTTCTAATCTTTAGTCCAGATCCTTGTCTCACACTAAGATAAACACTTTATGTATAAGGTGCACAAAGTGATAAAGGCAAGAAAGTGAACACACATTCACATGTGAGTGTGGGTTGCTTCACTCAGAGAGTGGGCCAGAGGATTACCCAAAGGGAAAAGAGCTGGAGGAAAGAGAGAGAGGGAGAGAGAGAACACCTAAGTAGCACCTCCAGCCATGGTTCTTGACAAAAGAGAGAGCTCTCCTCCATTTTTGACCTCTCATACGAGGTAGAGGGCCATGCGTTTAGATGCATGAAGCCACCTGGACGTTTTGTGACATCTCCATAAGTTCCATGTGGAGCTTAATTTTCACACTTTCATGGCATCCCCCCACTTCTAGGTTCCAGGTGAACCAGGTGCATCCTGGGAAAAGAAGTGTTTTGATTGACAGGTAAAAGGAAAACGTTAAGTTGTGGCTTGCAGGAACTTCAAGTGACTCAGATCTGAACTGGATACCTAGTTACACCACATCACCAGTACTTCTGTTCCACTCTCTGTTTCTGTGCATATTAGTCCTTTATTATTCATGACTTCACTTTCTGACTTTCACTTACCTGTTGTCAATTGTGCTCTAAAAATGTTCTACAAAAAATTCCAGAAATAAGCAATCTGTAAGTATGAAAATCACATACCATTTTGAGGAGTATAGTGAAATCTCACACTGTCCTGCTCCATCTTGCTCAGGATCTGAGTCATCTCTTTGTCTCTCATTTCCATATATATGCTGCCTGCCCATTAGTCACTTAGTATCTATCTTGCTTGTCAGAGCTACTGTTGGACTTGAATAACAGTGCTGTACTCAAGTACCCCTTATTTTAGTTACCATGGTCCCCAAGTACAAGAGTGGTGATGCTTTCTATTTGGATGCACCAAAGAGAAGCCACAAAATGCTTCATGTAAGTGAAGGGGTGAAAGTCCAACAAGATATTTGAGAGGGATAGTGAACCATACTCACATTAAGATTTATTAAAGTATACTGCTCTAATTGTTCTATTTAGCTATTAATTAGTTATTAAATTAGTTACTAATTTTACACTATGTCTAATTTATAAATCAAACTGTATCATAAGTGTGTGCACCCCCTCACACCCACACATTGAGGTTTCAGGTATTCACTGGGGTCTTGGAAGGAATCCCCAGAGATAAAGATGAGGGACTATCTTATGTAATCTTTTTTTAAGATCTCACGTATATGTGAGATCATGAGGTATTTTATCCCTGTGTCAAGCTTATTTCACTTAACATGATTTATGTCTTCTCTGTTCATCCATGTTGTTGTAAATGGCGAGATCTTTTTTAAGGCAGAATAATATTCCACTGTGTGTATACATACATATAGATATAGATACATATATTTGCCACAATTTCCTTATTCACCAACAGAACCTGGTTATTTCCATATCTTGACAGTTGTGAATAATGCTTTGGTAAACGTGGGAGTGCAGATATCCTCCCTAGGCAGTGATTTAATTTCCTTTGTACCTACGCCCAGAAGAGGGAATATTCTGGAACGTATATTAGTTCTATTTTTAATTTCTTTAAAAACCTCTGAATTTTCCCTAAAGTGGCTGGAGCAATCATCTGCCTTCCCACCAACCATGTACAGGG